TGACATAGCATAAAATTACCTTCTAAATTTGTGTTTATACCCATAGACAAAAGCTACTCTCAGCCTCATTCAGAGAACCCTCTTCACAGTGAATGGTAATGAATGCAGAGGCCCAAGGCTGCCAAAAATGCTGAGAATAAGTCATGGTTGTGGACTTAGCCCTAAGCAAGATATTTACATCACCCACTCAAGTCAGGCAACCTTGCAGAAGGGGTGAGAAGTATGTTAAGAGTTGGAAGACAGGGTGAAGGACTGTGAAATGCTATTCTCTAGATGATACAAGGATAGTGGTTACTTACACTGGGCTCATACAAACTAGCTTTGTTTACAATCAGTCACGAGGCCCTACCCTTTACTACTGAACTGCTGGAGAGTAATAGATTCAAGGAAAGGAGGAACTAATTGCCATCAGTTGTATGGACGTGAATGTTAGAGATTTGTGGAGAGCAGGATGATGGACAGGGATGTGAAAGGTTGGGGTGTGAATGGTCTTTAATTGTTATGTACACAAATTGTATAAGAACATATTTAAATAAGAATGACAAAGAAACGTTTTCTAATATCAATTTATTCAAACTTATAAAATAAAATATTTAGTACAAGTTTTTAAATATAACTAGTGTTTGTTCTATAAGTGTATTTTAAACTACTTTCAACTTGAGATATTAGTGAAGAATTAATACATGGCACTTTTTCCTTCTATAATTTTCCTGTGATTGGCTGCCATAATCTGATAAAGCATATAGTTAGCCAGTACATTCCATGCCCCCCCTGACCCCTCTTCAGGGCAATATTTCAGTGTTTGTACTGCAGGGCACATGGAGTAACAAGAGGCTGAATCTTGAGTGTTTTGGTTATGGGTTTTGTGATGGGTATTATTGACTGCCAACTTGACGACATCGAGAATTTACTAAAACCCCCAAATGGAGTGACACACCTATGAGACATTTTGTTTAATTTGAAGTGGGAAGATCCTTGAGGTAAAAGACACATCTTTAGTCCAGATCTTTTGGGCTGGAAACACACACTTCTAATGGGCCACATCTTCTGCTGGAAGGCCATATAAGGACATGGAAGAAGGAAGCTTTTCTCTTTGCCTGCTTGCTCTTGCCTCACTAACATTCTTAGGCCTTAGAGTCTACTTTTTTTGTGATTCCAGCATATATTGATGACCAGCTGAGACGTCTGGACTCTTATGGACTGAACAACTACTGGATTCCTGGACTTTCCATTCACAGCCAGCCATTGTTGAGTTAGCTGGACCACAGTCTATAAGTCATTCTAATAAATCTCTTGGGATTAGTTCTGTAAGTTCTGTTACTATAGAGAACCCCATAGAAATTTTTATTTATTTATTTTTACCTTTTTAAAGGACTTTCTTACAACATATTGGCAGACTCTTTAGAAAGACTGAAAAGCTTTGGATTCTACTGATGAGGAACTGTAGATATCTCACCCCAGGAATCAATCAATCTCTCTCTCTCTCTCTCTCTCTCTCTCTCTCTCTCTCTCTCTCTCTTACGATAACCTAGTTGAGAACACTCATATTGGTATCCACAATACATCTGCAAACAGACTTTTACCTCTCTCCAGTTCTCCTTGGTCTATAATAAGAATGCCTGTTATTTAACAGTAGGTGCCCTCTGCCATGGGTCAGGATGTCTTGCTTTATGGGAAAACTTTGTTATTTCACCACTGGTTCAGACTTCATGACCCCTATTTCTATTTTCACAGCAGCTATTTCTGTGGCCACGTGCCTCTCACAGAACACACTCATTTTGCGTTCTTCATCCACTCCAGTGAGCTTCTGACAGCCAGTGACTGGAAGGAGATATTCAGCTTCATCTTGACACAGCCAACCACCTAGGAGGTGCCACACAAAAAGAGAATTGTTTTTCGTTTCAATACTGGGGATCAACCTAGAGTTTTGTGTGTATTAAGCAAACATTCTATATATCTTTATATATAGATATATCTGAGTTAAATTACCAGGCCTTTAAATTTTCTTATTTTGAGAGGTCTCACTAAATTGTCCAAGAAGGCACTGAATTTGAGCCCCCCTCCTGCCTCAGCCTCTTGAGTAGCCCCAGGCCTAAGATCAATGCTCTCCTTACAGTTAATTCATATTTGCCATAACTGTGATCATCACCCAGGATCTCTGGCTTCTTGGTTCACTATCCTATCAGATACAATATTTTTCCCAATGTAAGAATGGTTATTTTTTTTAAAAATGTATCTTGTTGGATTGTGTCATTTATGTGAGTAAACCATATATTTGCTATAGGTCTTTCTTAGACTGAAAATTTATTTTTACAACTTGCTTTTTCAAGGTTCCCTATATTTACATTTTTTAGCTGGTGTGGGATAATGCTCTTGTATACAATACTGTGGGATAATGCTCTTGTACACTGTGAAGATTTGCCACTTGTACTGGTTTACTAAAACACTAATTGCCCAGTAGCCAGACTAGGAGAATTCTGGGAAGAGGAAAGGCAGAGACTTAGTCACCACTGAAGTGAATGGAAATATCCCAAGAAAACACATTAGTTTGTACAAGCTAATAAAAATGAAAGATAAAAAGTATTGTACAAGCCTATGTACACTCTAACTTAGGAACTGAAGATATGACCTTGTCACACTGGTACTGCACTGACAGCATGTGGACTGAGAGCATGTGGACACGATAATAGAGGAAGAGAGTACAGATGCTGAAGCAGTGCATGGACGTGCTTAGGTCAAACCAAGTACATGGTCCACATTTGACTAAAGTGAGCCGTTAGCAAATTTCCTGCTTTTCCAATTGCTGAGAAGGGGTTCATTATATAACTCAGGATGCCTTTAAACTTGCAATCCTCCTGTCTCAGCCTCCCAAGGGCTAGAATTACAAGCATGTTCCACCACTCCTGGACACTCCAATAATTTTCCTAACGATATACCATAAAATACTGACAAAACTAATATTAAAGTCTTAATATAATTTCAAAGTCCTTCTTTAATTCTAATCCTCTAGCAGCACCAGATATGATTAAACTATATTTTCATCAATCTGAAGTTTGATGGGGGTGGGGTGGGTAAAAGTATTTCCTTGGTAAAAACTATCTCACTTTAAGTTCTTGAACCCTCAAGTTGAAGTTTTTTTGTTTTTTTTTTGTTTTTTGTTTTTTTTTGTAGATATGAGGGAGACCACAGCCTGAGGCATCTGGAAGAGTCCAGAGCAAGAAGAAAAAGTACTAGACCTCGTCATGAGAAGAGAGAGGGACAAGAGAGAGCATGGCTAAAATAGAAAGAGAATGGGGGCGGGGGAGCCCATGAGCTGGAGTTTAGGAGAGAGTGAGGTGAAGTCAGGAGGCCAGCATATGTGCTGGTCACAGCACCACTGTTAGCCACTGTTCCCAAGTTCTTTTAAGACCAGACAGTTGCTTAAAAAGAAAAAAAATCCACACCAGCACTATATTTAGAGAAATATCAATGCTGTGGAAGACTCAACAGACCCATTGAATCTGGCATTGAATTCAGAGAAAAGGTTTCGGTATGTGGAAATTGATTTGCTAATGGTGTCTTTTGTTTAACGATAAAGTGGCTTTTGTGAAGCCTCGCTGCAGCCAATTTATCAGAAGCTGACTTTTCTGCTGCTGCTAGATCCTTAGAACATGCTGGAGTGACTCTTAGACTGACCTGAATAATACAGAACACCGACATATGAGCTAAGCCTTATATATATAAAATGCTTTCCCACTAATAATATTATTCTCCAATAATACTAGCAACCGAAGGCATTCTGAAAACCACCCAGTAAACTTACATTTGTAAGTAAATTTATATTTGAACAACAACAAAAAAGGCAATTGATTCATTCAGAAATGTCCTTAGTTGTGGGTGTACCTACAACCTAGTTGGTAAAGCCACAACGAGTTGGAGTCTTTCAAAAGACCACAATTAAGGCAATCACTAAATAACACGATACACTTCCACTGTAATCTCAAGTGTTAGTCACAGCCATTACTGTGCAACACACAGGACACATTCCTACACATACTTTATTTGGAATTGAGTACCGTGAAAACATTTTTTTAAAAAAAGAGGTCAATATAATAATGTTTTATTGAACTAGGAACTCTGGCACTGAAAGCGTGAACAACCCAAGGTAACGATGTCGTCACCAAGGGACGACCATAGAGCCCAAATCCCTTGACTCCTGGGCTGATGTTTTCCACTAATTGTGCTCCTTTCTCCTCATCTGAGAGCTTCAAGTGTAAAGAGCTGGAGAAGGTAGAAGACCTAAACGAACCAAGTCTGCGGGGTGGGAAGGCTCAGAAGGTCCTCCGCAATCGCCGCTGACACTTTCTTTTATTTTGGCTGAGCAAGATGAAAACAGCAACCACAGACCCAAGGGACCAAGAACTGGAACTAGGTACCGCCTGTTGTGGTAACTCTCTCTTCCTCGTCGCGGCCTGCTCTCTCTCACTTCTCCCTTCCCGCCAAACCTTAACGTGCCCCTTCCCCCACCCTGATCCTTCGGTCCCCATCTTCCTTCCTTCACCCCATCCCCGTCGGACCGAGATCTCCTGATACTCCCTCCAGTTTTAGCGGGGATTCGCCGTGCCTGCCGTTGTTCTTGAAAGCGAGTGGTAGTCATCACTGCACACGCGTTTCACCTGAGAAACTTTGGCAGGAGCGGGGGGAAAAACGCGCGTGCCGAGCGGGTGCTGGGGCTCGTCAGGACAAAGCATGATTAGACAATGAGGACCTAGCCTTCCTCCCTGGCCGAGGGCCGCAGCTCTCAGTTTCCCTCGGGCGCCTACGGAGCGCGCGCCTATTTACACTTTCTCCTGCCCGGCGGCGGATCCGGGGGGCATTCCAAACCGTTACTCCGCCTGCTGGGGTGGGACCAGCCCAACGGCTTGAGCCTGCGCTCTCGGCCGGCCGGCGTGAGCGGACTACAAATCCCAGAAGGCCTCGCGCCTAAGGGGTGGGCAGGCGGCTTACCTGCCCGCCGCGCTTCCCTGTGGTACTTTTTGCTTCCCAACTGCAATAGCTGTACTTCATACAGCTGATGGCTGCCTCCTTCAGGGAGCATTAGCAGTCTCGACACCGAAGCCCTCGCGTTCCCACTCTTTCTGCCTCAGTTCTGGCTATGCCTGAATCCCTCACCGGAGTCGGGTGGCGGAGGAGAGGGAGGGAAGCCTATGCCAGCGGTACCCGAGCGCACTTCCGCCTCAGGGCTCCGGAAGGTAGAGCGCACGCGCTTGCTGCGACTCCGGAGCGACTCACTTCCGTTCCCACTGTGCCCTGCGAGCCGAATCATGGATCACACTGGTAAGGAGGCGGAGGCAGCGGGGGTCCTGGTTTCGTGCCCCCTTGGCTTGTGTGGGACGGGGTGCAAGGGGTACTCTCGCCTCACTGCGCCGGGACGTGACGGAGAGGAAGCCAGCTCACAGACCCGGTCCCGGGCTGGCCCGCTGCTCCTCGGCCTACTCTTCGGAGCGGTACCTCCATCCTCGAAACCGGCAGCACTGCCTCTGCGGTGCTGCTGAGCTCGCCTTCCGGACACTGCGCCGCGCAGGCTTGTTGGGAACGGGAGAGTGCCGGTTCTTTTTTTGTCCCATTCCTCTCTTTATTCCGGTTGCTCTGCACTTTGTGCTGGGGAAATAGGCGGGTGGATTCCACTTTCGGAACTGGAGAACCGTCCAGACGCTAGGCGAGAGTGGGTTGTAGACTTCCTGCTGCCCCCCAGCTTCGGGTAGCTGCTGCAGTGGTCACCCCCCGTGGTTATTGTCTCTTTAGGTTTTCACAGACTAGAGGTTAGAGAAGAAAAGTCGGATACGGTTTTCGAAGTTATAAGCGGAGCATCTTTTCTAAACCCAAAGTATGCCTCGCCCTTCGACCGTGGTCCTTTTCGCTTCTTTTGGGGACATAATACAAAAATTTTAAGATCAAGACATTTCCATCTCATATTCCAAGTAATAGTGGCTTCAGACTTTGTTTCGGCTGGCTTCGTTTTCTTGTTCTTAGTTATTGAAAGAGTGCACTTAGCTTTGAGCGCTTCAGACATACAGACAAGCAGGAGGAAAAGGCTCTTTCTTTAAGAATTGACGGAGATGCCCTCAGTCTTCAAATTATTGCTTAATTACATAATTGCATGCAGACAGTTGTAGGCTTGGAGATAGAATGGTGGGGTGTCCTTGTCTTCAAGTTTACGTTCTATCAAAAGGGGCGGGCAGTTTTTTCTTTTGTAAAATCCGCTTATAGATTGTGGTGAGGACTTGAAGAAAACAGGTGTAGAAATTTCAGAGAGTGCCAGGCAAAAGTGTTTTTGGAATGGTAAGAAGATGTAGAGAAGACCGATGTCTGTGGTTTAGTTAGCAAGAGCCCTAAGTTGAGAAGAGAAGGAAAACACGTCACCTTGTTCAAGAATTTGAGAATCATGGTAAACAGTTTTAATTTTAAGTGGCTATAAAGCAACTGAATAAAATTAGGCGTATAATATTTTAAAAATAACCCCAACTCTTCTATAGAGAATGGTGTAGGAGAGGAAGAACAGGAGTAAATCATTTAGGTGGCCCAGAGAGAGGCTCAGTTTAGTGAAAGTGTAGCACAGTGATAGAGCCTTACCTAGCTAGCACAGAGTCTGAGTTCAGTCCCCAGCAACGCTGTGGGGGGAAAAGTTGGGACAGGGCACAGACAACGGGCAATTGCAGTAAATATTTTGGTGGAGAATAAAACAGCTGCTAATGGATTGGTTTGTTGAGTGTATGTGAGAGAAATGAGAAAAACTGAGTTCCTCACTAGAGCATCTTGGTCCTGCATGTGTAAAATATCCCACTTTCTAAGTTATTAATAAAAGGTTGCCTTGGTAGATAAAAGCCATTCTAACATGAAAGGTCACTAATGAGCTAGCTAGAATTAAAAAAATTGAGTTTCTGGACAGCCACTCTTTCTGCTCAACAATAGTGTTTCTAGGTTTTAAATTACTTATGAGGCAGTCACCTTAATGCTTCATTATTAATAGCTGTACATTTTGAGGGAAAAATAATCAAACTAAACAGATGACTCAGACTTTGAAAAGACCTTAAATACAAATTTGAAAACTATTTGAATCACAGTGTCTTTGGCAAATCAAATTCCTATTAGCTAGTTAACTGATGATTTATTGACTGAATATGCTTTTCAGAATAATGATTTTAATGTCAAAGGATCAAGAGGTCTTGTAAATGGAAGTATTGAAATGGAATTTTGCCAGAAAAAAAGTATTACAGATGCCTGTCTCTCAGCAAATTAATATTGCTTTATTTAGTGTTTCTCTGTATTGTAGAAGTGTCAGCAGTGGGCTGAGAGCCCCAGAGAGCACAGAGCGAGGAGGGCAAGCCCAAGGCCCTCTGGGGTGGAGGGAAGCAGAGAGAGGTGATGTGATGCTCCTGAAGCTTCTCCAAGGACAGCCCTTTCTTTCCCCACGCTCCCAGGTCACAGACCGATAAGACCCTCCCTGCATTCTCTGGTCATTATAAGTGTTAATTGGCACTTAGGTAAATGTGACACAAATTTTGTAAAATACTGTTAAACTCTTTATTGGGAGGTGGATGCTAGGGACCTGGACCCAGGATCTTCAGTACCTAGACAGGTTCTGCCAATACCTTGACTCTTTTTTTTTTTTTTTTAAACCTTTTCTTTTTTCCCTTTTTTCTTATGGTCACTGATTTTGCTTGCACTTGTGTCTGTGTGAGGGTCAGATCCCCTGGAATTAGAGTTACAGACAGTTACAGTTGTAAGCTGCCATGCTGGGTGCTGAGAGTCAAACCCAGATGCTTTGGAAGAGCAACCAGTGTTTTTGAAACTATATAATAAAGTGTTACTACATTTAAAGGTAGATTCACATTAAATGGCCAATTATTTTTATTCCTTATGTAATAACCAGGTATTTCTTTATTATCGTGTTTTGCTACTATGCATGCTACGTTTTTATTCTTAATTTTAAAAAGGCCCCAAACAAACCCCAGAATGTTGTCACTTGAAATCTCTGAAGCAACTCGTAGCTTCAAGAAACAGCAGGGTGTATGAAGCGAGTTCCAGGACTTCCCGGGCTACATAGAGAAACCCTGTTTCAGAAAAAGAGAAGCAGCAGGCTCTGGGCTGGAGTGATGGTTCTGTGTTTAAGAGCACTGGCTGCTCTTCCAGAGGACCCGGGTTCAGTTCCCAGCACCCAGATGGCCGCTCTTCTAATTTCTGGAGGATATGACACCTTCACACAGACATACATGCAGGCAAACACAAATGCACATGAAATAAAATAAATAAGAATTTTATAAAAGGGCTAGGACTGTTCAGAGGATGGAGAGCTTGTGTGAGGTGCTTGGAAGTTGCAGATAAAGTGTGTTATTTGCATTCATGAAGGTAACACCACTAAGAATCCTTTTGATATCTGAAGGGCAACCGGTTGGTTTTTATCAAGGGAAAAGGTCATCTGTCATATCTCTATAGCTGGTAGATACTTCTGTGTGGATGAGCAAATGCAGTGAAGACTGATGAGCTACATTTGCAGACTTTTAGTGCAGTGTTGAGGGTGGATCAAATTAGGTTTATTTTATTCAGGATTGTAGCTAATCATGTAATCCCCTCTCTGTGAAAAACATCCTAAGAGAAGTTTGCTGTTGAAAGGGTTAAAAAGTAGACAGATGTCTTATCATTGAGACCATTTTGAAGTATATTTGGCTTTACCAAATTTAATGTGGACATTTGGCTATAAGTCATGATTGTAATTCTTGCAGGAACTCTGTCCATTAATTTGTGTTTGAAACATTACAATTTTATTTTATTTTTTATTTTTTTGTTTTTCGAGACAGGGTTTCTCTGTGGCTTTGGAGCCTGTCCTGGAACTAGCTCTTGTAGACCAGGCTGGCCTCGAACTCACGGAGATCCGCCTGCCTCTGCCTCCTGAGTGCTGGGATTAACGGCGCCACCACAGCCTGGCCGACCTTGAACTCACAGAGATCCGCCTGTCTCTGTCCCCCCCCCCCCCCCCCAGTGCTGGGATTAAAGGCGTGCACCACCACCGCCCAGCGAAACATTACAATTTTAAAGTTATATTTGCATTTCCTATTTTTAAGCATTTCCCTTTTTGTCTTAGGGTAAAATTGATATTTTATGTTACGTATATATCTTTACGTACTTAAAAAAGTAAGGCTTTATGAGTCAGTTCTGTGAAATAATGTACCTATTGTTCATGGACAAGAATTCTTTTTTATTCCATAGATAAGATTTTTAAAGACTAGAAAGTGAAAAAAAAAAAAAAGACTAGAAAGTGTCAGTTGTTGAGACCTAAGTCTGAATCACAGTTTTTTATTGCAGTGTTGACTTTTTAACTAAGGATATCTGTTATATCTCTAGAAATGTTATAATACAAATAATGTGGTTTTTATTAAATGGTATAATTTTTGTAAATGCCTTGAATACTTTTTAGAAAAAAAAATGTTATGCTTAAAGGAATAATTACCTCTTTAAAGCCAACACATAGGCCAACAAACTGGCTTAGCAGGTAAAGAAAGACCTGCTAACTGATGAGAACTGGAGTTCAGCATCTGGGCCTCATGTGGCAGGAGAGAACTCACCCCACAGTTGCCTTCTGACCTGCACATGTCCACTGTGGCTCCATTGCACTGGCGTGCGCACACTCTTACACAAAATTAAAACTTAATACATGTCAGATATCGATTGAGTATTGGATTTCCAATTTTATTGTTTGTCTTTCTGTAAATTTACTAGGTTTCCTGAGTGGCTACTTTGCATGTTTAATAATTAGACACATATGTAGAGACAATTTTGGTTTTTTTTTCTCCTTTATATTTAAAAATCTATTACAATTTGTGAGGTTTCTTTCTTTGCATTTTATTTTATTTTTAATAATTTATTTAATCTTATTTTACATACATTGGTATGAGGGTGTCAGATCTCCTAAAACTGGAGTTACAGGCAGTTATGAGCTATATGTGGGTGCTAGGAATTGAACCTGGGTACTCTGGAAGAGCAGCTAGTGCTCTTAATTGCTGCACCAACCATCTCTCCAGCTCCTCCTTACATTTTTAAAAGGTTTATGTTTCTGTAAACTACTATGGAATTATATGGGAGTTTTTATTGTTCAAAGTTGTAGAAAGAGATAAAGAATCTGTAACTTTTATCAAGTTCTGAAAGGGTTCTGTTTCTCAAAAAAAGGGTACCCAAAAGCATTACTTTAAAGGCTTATCCCAGATGAAGAATATTAGCAGTTACACTTAAGTCAGTCTGGTATTTAAAAGCAGAGCCAAGATTTTCACTTTATTATTTATACTTGTAGAACAGTTTTTAAAAGGAAAAGGAAAAGAAATTACAATTCCCTCTCTTCCATTCATATAGACAATGAGTTACAAGGCACTAATAGTTCTGGATCCTTGGGTGGTCTTGATGTTCGCAGAAGAATTCCCATAAAACTCATCTCCAAACAAGCCAACAAAGTGAAACCTGCAGCTCGAACTCAAAGGACTATTAGCAGGATGCCTGCAAAGGCCCCACCAGGTGATGAAGGTAACTTGTTTAAGACGTTTAACCGTTGTATTTTATCTGAGTGCGCCAGTTAGTCCTCTTGGTTTTATTTTTATTAAACCTATTCTAAATTTTAACCTTACACTTTATTTTCTAACCTTTTAATTAAGCTGGATGATGATAACGCACACCTTTAATCCTAGCAATTGGGAGGCAGAGGCAGGCGGGTCTCTTGAGTTTGAGGTCAGCCTGGAATATACAGTGAGTTCCAGAATAGTGAGGGCTACATAGAAGAAATTTTGTCTAGAAAAAAAAACAAAAATAAAAGGTGGGGTGGGGTGGGGTGGGGGTTGCCAGGTGTGGCTCATGCCAGCTGAGGCCAAAGGACTATAGTTGGATACCAGACGCTGTCTCAAGCATATTAATTAGTCTCAGGTGGTTTTACTTTTTTCTAGTAATTTGTTTTGCTGTAACTGTTGTAGTACAAACATTAAAAACTTGACTTGGGGGATGGCGAGATTAGTGGACGAGGGCAATTGCCAAATAAGCCTGGTGAATAAAAGAGGAAGGTGAGAACTGACGTCCAGAAGTTGTTTTCTGACTTCCACTGGCACACTGTGTCACATGTGCAAGCCCATCTTTCATATCATGTATACAACAAATAAAAATTTTAAAGACTTGATTTGTACATTTTAGAATTCATCAGATCCTGCTAAATTAATCCTCAGAAGGAGTTTGGAGTTTGTTGGTTTACACACACACATCACTATTTCTTATTAACTTAAACAGTTTTTTGAGGCAAGGTCTTCATCCTTGAATTTGAGCAGTCTTGCTGCCTCAGCCTTCTGAGTGCTGTGACAGAAACTTAAGTGTATGGGTGTCTTTTCATAGTACTAGCCGCCGCTTGTCTGAGTTCTGCCATCTGTTGTGACTGGTGCCTTTCTCTTAGCTTCTGAGTTCTTTGTAAAAGTGGCAGTGTTAAATGTCTGTGTAGTTCATTTATCTTTTAAATTTTGTGTATAAAATATTACTGTAAAGAACTTGAACCTTCTAGGTAGTAAGTTAACTAGAGTTTGCTGTTTCACTTTCCTGTCTTCCCATTTATTAGAAGTCAGCAAACTGGCATACAGGTCAAATTTGGTTCCTTTAAAAAAACAAAAAAGTTACTATTCAGGTGAGTATTGCTCGTGGCTGCTTTTCCACTATCATGGCAGAATTGAATAGATTGAAAGCCGAAGAAAATAGTTTGTGCCTCTCCGAAAAGTAGTCATGTATGCCACGTTTTCCCTAGACCTCAGTAATTTTTTGGGTTTGACATGTTGATTTTCCTTAGCTTGACTTTTAATGATTTCCAGTTTTTATGAAGTTTAAATAGGTCGTATAAGAGTTTAAGGGCACTCAATTATCACTTTCACTTTGAACTATGTAGTTTTTTGGGATTAATTAAAAAGTGTAGTTCAAGCCAGGAGGTGGTAGTGCACACTTTTAATCCCAGCGGTGGGGAGGCAGAGGCAAGCGGATCTCTGTGAGTTCAAGGCCAGCTTAGTCTACCAGAGCTAGTTCCAGTACAGGCTCCAAAGCTACAGAGAAACCTTGTCTTGAAAAACAAAACAAAACAAAAAAGTGTGCAGCTTGGGGTGATGGTGGTTGTGGCGCACACCTTTAATACCAGCTCTTGGGAGGCAGAGGCAGGTGGATCTCTGAATTCGGGACCAGTCTGGTCTACAGAGTGAGTTCCAGGACAGCCAAGGCTATACAAGGAAATCCTGTTGCAGGGAGGTGGGCGGTGCTATTGGCCTTAAAAACTGGCTTGACTTTCTTTGTGTATCTGTGTATACCCATTAATAGCTGTGCACAAAATGTGTATGCTTTGACCACTCTGTTTACCAGTTCTAGGGCCAAAAGGAGTCAAGAGAACCTTGTCACCATAGAGAGATATTTTTTATCTTTTGTTTGTTTGGTTGGTTTTATGAAACAGGATTTCTCTGTGTAGCCATGCGTAGCCTGGAACTTGCTCTGTAGATCAGGCTAGCTTTGATCTCAGAGATGCACCTGCCTCGGCCTCATAAGTGCTGGGATTAAAGTGTGTGCTATCACCGTCCAGTAGTATTCTTAGCTTTACTTAGGCAATTGGGTTCTACCTGCACTTCCCATCAGACTGTTCATTGGTTTTGTGTTTTGCTTGAGATGAGAGGCTTACCATCAACTTTTTGATTAGACTGGAGATACTCAGCCCATTTGGTCTTCATAGTGTTCTGTTACATGAGAATTATATATGCTCTAAATGAGTGGTTACTGGTATTTTGCCTCCTGTGACTAGGGAGAGGCTTTAGCTAAAAGGATCAAATGTATTCATTTGCTGTATCCGAAACCATGCTCACTTTGAGAGGGAAGTCATGAAAAGGCTGTAGAATTGATAATATACTGTGGCAATCAAATCAGTCACTTGTAACTGGATGCTACTTTTGTAGGTGGTTGAGAATAGATGATAGTGTGTTTAAAATTTGTACAGTAAGCATGATGATGGGAATTGGTGAGGTTTTGTAGTAGGGATAGTGTGTGGAGTTGAGAAGAGCATTGACTAAGAGACTCTTGTAGGTCTGGTCCTGGCCCTGTCACTCAGCCTGTAATTATAATGGTGATTTGTATATCCACTGCATATTGTCCTTTGTTAAGTACTAGAAATGGACTAGATGATCACCAAGATCAGCTGGCATTTTAAACTAGTTTTGATAATCATGTACTTAGATCTCTGAAAGTCATCAGTAACATTTTTCAGCAAATAGATCTATTTTGGCATGTAAATACACTTTAAAAATGAAATTTGAAGTTAGAAAATGTAACTTTTTTTTTCTCTTAGAAGGATTTGATTATAATGAAGAGCAACGGTATGACTGTAAAGGGGGTGAACACTTTGGAAGTCAGCGAAGATTTCCAGGACACCTTTTTTGGGATTTTAAGGTATGATTAAAAATGAAAATTTAAGCATTAAGTATCAGTATGAATTTTTAGTATGCCTGTCTAACTTTTAGCACACGTAAGTCCACTTGCTTCATTCTACATCTCCAAAAATAATTTGAGGTAATTTTCAGTAAACCAAGTAAAATCAAGAGTCACTATTTAAGGAGAATAAGCAAACGGGTTTACACTAAGCAGCTTTTATTTCTGTTTGTAGTAACAACTGTTACAAAATCCTAACCATTTTTCTGTGAATTGATAAGTACAATTTTCAGAATTGCTTAAAGAGGAAATTTTAATTATCATTTCAACAGATAAACATCTTAGGTGAAAAGGATGATACACCAGTTCATTTCTGTGACAAATGTGGATTGCCTATTAAAGTCTATGGGAGAATGGTAAGTACAAATACAGAATGCATTTGTGTAGAGGTAGGATTCAGAAATACAACTTACTATTTTTTATAAATAATTTTGAAGCATAATATATAGCAAAAAAGCTAAGAGAAGTTTTATAATACTATGAATTTAATATAGTTATTCTTTACTATTTTGGAATAGTTTCCGGAGAAACACAGTAAAACACATTTAGTGTTCTTCAGGAGCTTCTAACTTGCAGGGTCTCTATTCAGTATTGATGGATTCACCTATCTGAAAATAGAAGCAGGTGCCAGGCAAGGTAGGATAATCCCATAATCCTAACACTCTGAAGACTGAGGCAGAAGGATCATAAGATCAAGGCCTGCCCCAGGTGCCTCACAGCTTAAGGCCAACCTGAGGTACAGGTGAGCATTAGCAGATATACATAAATTTATGTATTTAGAATAGTAGCTTCTATTTTCAGATAGGTGAATCCATTAATACTGAATAGAGACCCTGCATGTTAGAAGCTCCTGAAGAACACTAAATGTGTTTTATCTTACTGTGTTTCTCCTGAAACTATTCCAAAACAGTAAAGAATAACTATATATTTTATATGTTTTTATATAAATTTTCAAAAACTTGTGATTAAGCCGGGCAGTGGTGCATACCATTAATTCCGGCACCCAGGAGGCAGAGGCAGGCTGGCCTGTGAGTTTGAGGACAGCTGGGGCTACATAAAGAAAAATCCTGCCTTGGAAAAAAATCAAGTAAAAAAATAAATAAATAATTGTTAGCTGCTATTGGTATACAGTCAAAAGTATTGACTGTATTTAAATAGTTCCTGTGTGCCTTCTGTCTGTAGATCTTTGTACTATTATTGAAATATTTTAAATTGGTCTAGGATGCCTAACTATGGTATTTTTGTCTACAGATTCCATGCAAGCATGTCTTTTGCTATGACTGTGCTATTTTACATGAAAAAAAGGGAGATAAAATGTGTCCAGGGTAAGATATGGTCATCTTTATATTTATCTAATGGTAGTGATGGTTTAAATAGACAAGGATGCAAATGTGCTGGCTGAGTTGGTGTTAGCCTTCTCTGCAAGGTGAAGCAAACCTCTGAGTTAGTTATTCAGAGAAGGTAAAATGATGGAATCTCTTCGGCACCATAGGAACAGTGTTGGAAACTAGAACCATTGTTTTTGTTTGTCTGAATGGGGCACAGAAGCAAATATAGTATGGTTGGTGATTGAGAACACTCTCTTTCCAAAATTAGAATGAATATTTTTTTAAAATACTAATTGTATGTGAATAATGTGTGTAAGGGTCAGAAGGCAGCCTTGTGGAGTCAGCGCTCTTCTCTTCTCCAGTGTTACGGATGCTCTGGGGATAGAACTTGGATTAGCAGGCTTGTGGAGTCAGCGCTCTGCTCCAGTGTTATGGATGTTCTAGGGATAGAGCTTGGATTAGCAGCCTGCATAACAAGCACTTCCCTGCTGAGCTGTCTCACTGGCCCCAGGATTAGAATTCTTGAGTTCAAGTCCCTGTTTTGCTATTTATATCTATGTGACATAAGCTGGGTTTTATGTCTGTAAGCTCCCTGGGTGGGTTATTTTTAAGATGAAATGAGGATGGATGGATGGATGGATGGATGGATGGATGGATGGATGGATAGATAGATAGATAGATAGATAGATAGATAGATAGATAGGTGGAACGGCAGAATCTGGCATATATTAAACACTGTGCCTGTATAAATTGTTACTATATATAAAACAGGTATGTCTTGAGTGGTAGACACCATGATACATCAAGTTTATTTTGGGATGGCTGTATGGAATTTATATTAATTTAGAACCCCCTGATAAGGAAGCCTTGAGAAAAACAGATTGAAACTTCCTTGGTTTAGCTCATAGCTTCCCAACTTCTCTCTAAACCTGTACTTGAATGTATTCCAGGCAGTAGTACTGGTTGCTAACAAAGGTACAAACAACTATAAGGGAAGATTTCCCCTTTATGGTGTAGGAAATGGACATCATAAGGAAATAAAGGGGTGATTTGTTATGACCCAATGACACCTGATTTTCTTGGCATGTTTCAACGGGGTTTTCAAGTTACAGATTATAAAATATATACTACATTAAAAGAATAGTTCTATAGAATTATAATTCAGAAGAATATGAAATTGGAAGTATGTATTATAGCCTTTGTTGGGTGTTTTCTCTAATTCCTATTTCCCAACGCAGTGTACATTCATTATTGCATAGCAAATGTTCTTGTTCCACTAAGATGAAGGACTAGGCTGTAGAGATTGCTCCGAGTTCACATGGTGGTGCTCAACCATCTGTGATGAGATCTGGTGCCCTCTTCTGGCCTACAGGCATACATGCAGACAGACATAATAGATAAAAGTCTTAAATAAGATAAAGCACTAAAATGTGATGAAATATACATGTAGTGAATGTAAAAGATTCTTTTCATAGATGTTCTAATTAATATTAAATATTTAAAAGCAAAATGTAGTTTTTAGATAACTAGATGTTTTCCACTTTGCACCTCACTTATATAGTCCTTAGCTGTCTAGAGAGAAACCTGTTCAGATCCAATTCAGGAAGTAAAGTTAGCAACCAGAATTAGTAAAAGTAGTACATACTACTGCTTTTAAGCATCATCCAGTAGTCAAGATTTCAACCTATTTAACATGGAGATGTTTCTGAGTATACTGTGAATTAGATGGTGGAAAAGCAAGGATGTACAAACTGTCCCCAAATGAGCAGCACACTAGCGTCAAAAGCACTTGCCCCACAGTGAGGGTGGGCAGGAGACAACAGAACTCTGAATTCCGTGCTTGTGAATGACACCTCCCTTACCATTCTTGGATACAGATCATATAGTTATAGAAATTTAATGCACTCTAAGTTTTGAGAAATAAAAGGTCTCTCTTTTTTGGTTTATTGAGACAGGGTTTCTCTGTGTAATGGCCTTAGCTGTCTGGAACTTGCTCTGTAGACCAGACTGGCCTCGAACTAGCAGAGATCCGCCTGTCTCTGCCTCTCAAGTAATAGGATTAAAGGCATGTGCACTACCACCCCGCCGAGAAATAAAAGGTACAATTCAGAGTTCAGAGGTAAAAATATTCTCAGGTTGGTAGAGATGCTAATGATTAGTATGTGAGACAAATAGGCAACATTAAGGGTTCACTAACAGTAATTAAATATTTTTTTTAATTTTGCAGATACGTAGCATTTTTAAAGTAACCAGAAAGTGTAAAATAAATGTGCTTATCTGTATTCTGTTTTTAATCAACTTTTCCCCTTCCTGTCTAGCTGTAGTGATCCTGTGCAGCGGATTGAGCAGTGTACACGAGGCTCTCTCTTCATGTGTAGCATTGTTCAAGGTTGCAAGAGAACGTATCTGTCTCAGAGAGACTTACAAGCTCATATCAACCATCGCCATATGAGAGCTGGGAAGCCTGTTACCCGTGCTTCACTTGAGAATGTTCATCCTCCTATTGCCCCTCCTCCAGCCGAGATCCCCGATCGTTTCATAATGCCGCCGGACAAGCACCATATGAGCCATATTCCTCCCAAGCAGCACATCATGATGCCGCCACCTCCTCTGCAGCATGTGCCACATGAGCACTACAGTCAGCCACACGAGGATATCCGTGCTCCTCCGGCGGAATTGTCCATGGCTCCACCTCCACCTCGTTCGGTCAGTCAGGAAACCTTTCGTATTTCAACAAGAAAACACAGCAATTTAATAACTGTCCCTATTCAGGATGACTCAAGTTCAGGTGCTAGAGAACCACCACCTCCTGCCCCAGCGCCTGCTCACCATCATCCTGAATATCAGGGCCAACCAGTGGTATCGCACCCTCATCATATTATGCCTCCACAGCAACATTATGCACCACCCCCACCTCCTCCACCACCAATAAGCCATCCAATGCCACATCCTCCCCAGGCCGCAGGTACTCCTCACTTGGTGTATAGCCAAGCTCCACCTCCACCAATGACCTCTGCTCCACCACCAATAACCCCTCCCCCTGGACATATTATTGCTCAGATGCCACCTTATATGAATCATCCTCCTCCAGGACCCCCCCCACCTCAGCATGGTGGTCCACCTGTAACTGCACCCCCTCCTCACCATTACAACCCTAACTCTTTACCCCAGTTTACTGAAGATCAAGGAACTCTGAGCCCTCCATTTACACAACCAGGAGGAATGAGTCCTGGTATATGGCCTGCACCAAGAGGTCCACCACCACCTCCACGAATGCAGGGCCCGCCTTCTCAAACCCCACTACCTGGACCACATCATCCAGATCAGACAAGATACAGACCATATTACCAGTGATAATAGTGTTTTGAACTGAAGATATGACAAGGAAAAAGATTAGTCAATCTTATAATTAAGCTTTGTTGGGGGAAGGAAAAATACCTCTTGAGGTGGCTATAAAACACAAAGTCTTGTCCCGTAAAATGGTTTTAAATCTTGACCTTAGGATTGCTTTCAGATACTATACTGTAGTGCAGAGCAGTGGCTTGTTGAGCACAATGTATCTTAGCAACTGTTATTTTGGTGTGGTGAATTGACCCTGAAGTGACCATTTGTAAAAAAATTGAAAAATTTTCACTGTTCCATTTTCAAAATACTGCTTTTATTAAACCCAGTGTTTAGTTTTTCTTGTGATGCATTTTGTTAACCTATATAAAGGATTAAATTTCAAGATGGTTGTAAAAATGCTGTTTTATGTGAATTTAAGTACAGCCATATAATTTTTCTTAAACCATATGTTCTACCACTAATTTTCCAAAGTTAAAATAAAGTTCTAAAAGTAAAAATCTACTAAATTATAACCAGGCAGACTGTTATATGATAGGGAATTACTTCACATTTTAGGCATTGAAACTTCAAGGGGTCTTAATTATGAAGTGCACTTGGATTTCCTTTTGTCTTTGGACTGCCCACGGAGCGCCAAGCTACATGAGAATTCTGATGACAGTGTAGTTGTGTGACATGTCCCAAGGCCTTCTGATCATTTGGAAAATGACTGGCTTTGCAGGCTCTAAGCTGCTGATGAGAAGCTGTTCTCATCGATGCTTAAGTTATATCACTTTATAGGATTGTTGGAATGGTGTTTTTTGGATGAAATGTGTTCTGTGTTCACCATCTTAACCTACGTCTTAGGGCTGATGAAGTTTTATTTAAATCTGCATTTCTTCCTAGTACTTTGATTCTGTGTTTTAGTGTGTTCTTGTTTATGGAACTATAAACTGCAGCTTGAGTGCTGTGGAGGAATTTGACTAATGTATTCGCAAAGGGTGTTTCTCGAAAAACCACAAACTAGCGTTTACTCAGGTTTCATTGCTGTGGTTTTTCCTCCAGTTTGAAATTGTAAAACTATCATTTCTTTTGTTGTTGTTGTTGTTTGTTTGTTATAAAGCATTCTAACATTGTAGTGTGGAATCAATAGTGAAGACAACCAGATCATTTTGAATTGGACAGAAAAATAATACTTAGATTGTGAAGTTCAGTGCCATGAAAGGTGCCTTTGGAGTCAGTGTTTGCATTATCAGGACTTGTTACAGTCCATTGAAGATGACCACTCAGTTTATACAGCTTTCCTACGTATAAGTCATCATTCTTAGGATATTATTGTATATCCTTTGAATTGACTAAACCCTTGTGAAGCTTTTCTTCACCCTTAAAATGGTGCATAATATAAACATGGTGTGTAGAATGCAGATATCTTTTATTAGGGAGTTTGTAGTATAAAAATGTAGACATTGGTTTTTGACAAAGGGTATACTGATTGGTTATTCACCATTTTTTTCTGTCAGGTACAGGAACATTCTTGTGTTAGGTGATCAGATACAAAATCATTTCTGAACTTAGCACAGGAGTAAATATGAATGGCCATTTCATCCTTGGCTGGCCAAGAAAAACCAAAAAACGAATGCAGTTTTTCTTGAACAAGCAATTTTTCTCCCCACTTGTAGCAGTTTGAGAGTCAGGTTTGCTCATGCACTATTTCTAGTGAGAAGTTTTGTTGTTAGAAGCATGAGAGTGAAATAGTGTGACGTGGTGAGTGTTCCATCACATTACTGTAGGCACGTGGATTGGTGCAAACTTGATTCCTTCTCATACCCCTGTTTAGGAGCTTTTTACATATTACTGTTAAAAATCCAAATAACTTTTTGTTTCATGTAACTAGAAAATAGCCAGATTCATGTAAGAGCTTCTTAACTGTTTATGAGAAGCTCTTGTAATTGAGATTTACTAGGGTTGGGTGTGGTAAGAAATCACTTTGCCTATATTTTGGACCAAAAAATATCATGAAAAAAAAATCCTGCATTATGAGAATTCTTGTAGGCATTTAACAACAATTTTCAGTTATGTTAATAAACATTATACTGGGAGGCAGGTCAGATGAATGTCTTATAGACAAAATTTAAAATGTTAGGCTTGAATTGTTTGATGAGGGTGGGTGGGTAGACAGATAACAGGATTGCTGTGAAGTGTCTGTTCTTGAGGAAAAGGTTGTGAATCCCAGTGCATTTCAGGGAAGCCTTTGAAGCTGTCTGTGGTGGACGTAAGTCTAAATGTATGTGTGTCTCATTAATTTCTCTTAAAACTACTGAGGTGGCAGTCAATTCTTAAAAACAATAAAATGGAAGCATAAATACTGTTTTGCTGAGATGAGTTTTTACCCAATGGTGACATGTTTGGGAGACTGCAGAGCTTTCCACAGCTTCACGGTAAAATTAGATTCACATTTTAAATGCTTATAACCAAAAAGTTGGCTGGTGTTATTTCTTTGGGGTATTTGTTCAGAGTTTGTGAGTAACTTTAGTATTTGGGAAAAGATTCATTTTTAAGATTTGTAAAGAGTTGTTCTCATTTTCCCTGTAAAAGCTACTTGTTTAAAATTGTGTGCATACTAGTCAGATACGTTGGAAATATAAATAGAAAAAAAGAGCATTTTTATAATTCTTGAGTAGCGGCTGTGTGAGGCACACAGAACTGCTTAAAGAGAGTCATATAGGTTTAGAAATAGCCCTACAGTTCTGTTTTAGATAATAATACCAAGAGTATGTAATAATTGTAAATACCTAAAACAGAAACAATTGACCGTCAAATTATCCGATTGATATTAAAGGAAGTTTGACACAGTCATACTCAAACATAGTCTATTCTGATTGAAGTGAATTTATTTTTATTCACTGGCTTATAATGTTATAAACCTAGAAACCAAGCAGAATGTGCTTATTAGGGTAGTTGTACAATCTAATAAAGCAATGCAGGCTGTACTAAGCCTAGAGATGAGGGGCTAGATAAGCCAGCAGGTAACTATTCTGAAGCACTTCTAGTAAAAAATGACTAGACTTTTAACACCCCTTCAGTTTCCCCTCAGTGAAGAGAGCACTTTTTGGAGAACCTTAAAGTACATACTAATTCTCAAGTTTCACGGTCATCTTCGTTTTCAGGCATCAGAATGACAGGATTGTAACAAACATGTCGGGTTGAATTCTCACACGTGGGCAGAACCTTTTGGAGAAGGTCAAGGTCCTGTGTCATCCTGCTGTCCCCCGCTCCCCACCGCAACCATTATTGTCACCCCCCTGATGAGTCATTAACTTGGACCTGCATCTAGTTTTAGTTACAAATCTGACAACTAAGTAGGCTCTATGGCCTAGTCAACATCCTAATCCTCGCCTAATATATTTCATAAACTATATTTACTAATTTTATACTGAGCTATTGTGGGATAGAGTCATTCATTGAAATACTAGACAGTATTCAGCACTTGGGATGCACAGTCTTTAGAGACTGCCAATCACAAGTATAAATTATGTACCATATTAGATGTTTGTCAGAATCCTATGGGGAAACCAGTTAGCATAATTGGGTAGTTTGTAGCTTTAGTGGGAATGGCATTGAAAAGATGGCATTTAAGTTAAGGTGAAAGTCACATTGAGTGGGAGCAGAGCTTTACAAACTGCAGTTAAGTGAAAGACTTACCTAACATTTTGTAGTAGATGAGTAGAATAAATTGTCTCAGGTAGACCACGGCTAGCATTCACAAATCCATAGGTTTTGCCCCCAAGATTTGACATATTCAAGACAAATTTATTAGCAATAAGGACCAAATTCTGATTACACGAAAAGCCTTTGTGGCATCCCAAATGGGGTGTCCAAAGTGGGACAACCTGGCTCTTTGTAAAAGGATTGATTATTCTATTCTGTCTGTATGTTAGGGAAAGACCAGTGAGGCAAAGGTGGAAGCAGAGACCTGTCAGAGTGTTTTAATTATACTAAGGATGATGGTAGCCTTGCAGTTATTACTTGGGTAACTTGAGGACTGGGTGTTTGTGTGTGTGTGTACAGTACATGCATACAGGAAAGCAAACACCTGTAACATTAGAGGGGCTGCATAAAGAATTTACAAAGTAGATATGGTCCCTGTTCTTCAGCAGCTTAGATCCTTTTTTTCTTTTTTAACTTTAATGTACATTTGTGTTTTGCCTGCATGTATGTCTGTTGTGAGGGTGTTGGGTCCCTTGAAACTGGAGTTACAGTTGCGACCTGCCATGTGGGTGCTGGAAATTGAACCTGGATCCTTTGGAAGGGCAGCCAGTGCTCTTAACTACTGAACCATGTCTCCAGTCCACAGCAACTTACATTCTAATTCAAAAGATTTTGTAAGTATTTGCTTTCAAGGTATAGTGGTCAGAAAAAAAAATTCACCCTTAAAAATTAATTACCAAGACTGAAGAAATTGCTCAGTTAAAGATCACTGGCTGCTCTTCCAGAGGACTCAGGTTTGATTCCATAATTCTAGTCCCAAAGAATCTGATGCCTTCTCATGGCACAGATGTACATGCAGCCAAAACACCCCTACATAAAAATGTTTTTTTAAAGTTGAATTACTAGATTAAAAAGATGAAAATTATAAATAACCTAAAATTATAAACAATACAATTCATAATCGCTGTGTAAGTTGTACTTAACTGTACAATGTTAAATTAGTAACTGGGAGAAACATCATGTACCTATACTATTTCTGAGTTAAGTCCTACCTGTAATCAGTTTTTAGGCATTTTAATTTCTTTTGGGAGTAAATGTTTCTTCGAACCTAAACTAAAACCTGCATGGTGTAGACTACACAGAATTCCTGACAATTCCTGCAGCTGTATCACCTGCCCTCTTTGGGTCTTGTTTTAATTTTTCCTAAATTTGCTTTCCTAAAATGTGAAGCTGAGCTGGGGTGAGGGAAAGGAAGTGTGCTCCGTTAGTCCCAGCGCTTGGGAGATTTAAGAGAATCAGGAGATGGAGGTTACCCCTGGCCACACAGTTCCAGACTAGCCTAGAATTCATGCATCCTCATCTCAAAAACCGGGAAGTAAACAAACCCTAACAATAACAGCAGCAGTGTGTGTGAGGCCATGAACTCACCTGACACCAAGAATCTTCACTATGTAAGGGCTATTTTGAGAATTAAATTATTTTATGCGGGTTCTAATCAGGATTTCCTGACAGATTTTTTCCCCCCTTTGGAGCTTGAAGAATAGAGGCATCGTTCACAGAGGAGAAAAGATGAAAGATGGAATCTTCAGGGCAGTTTCAACATGATGAAATTCATGGAGATGCTACAAAAAAGAATTCTCCCCTTTTCTGTTCATGCATTGTAGCGAGTCAGGCATTTGTAAGTGAGGTACAACTGTC